AGCCGGTGGGGGGGATAGTGTAGAGCCTAGGCTAGACAAGGCAAAGGGGCCTATGCCTGATGCAGTACGGGAGCCTCGACTACACATAAGGGACACACTTACTATAGGCAACACTGGATACAGTAATAGGGTCCAATCAGACTAGAGTCATCAGCATACATGACAAACATAGCAGTCCGAATCTGATCCATGTCAAGCTCAAAGACAGGCACACGGTGGCGCGCCAAGGCGTACCAGCCAGGAGGGTCCGACGTGGGACCGAAGCGGTGACGGAAGAGGTCGTCCAGGCGGCGGTAGCAATGGGTGGCAGTGTGGCCAGGACGCTCGCAAGCAGTGCCACAGCTGGGGGCCAGTCTGAAGCTATTAATGGCAGGTGACCGCACTGGAGCTGCCACCTGACACTGAGCTGCGACCCCCACCACCATGACCACCGCCACCTACGCGGCTAGTCCACCACGGCTGCGGGGGTCCCCACGGCGAATTCTGCTACTGCGGCGACTACTGCAAGGCTGCTGCTGCTACTGCTGCTGCTCAGTCTGCTGCTGCAGCTGAGGCTACGGCTTTTGCTCCAGGGAGCCAGTCTTGGTCCCCTCGTCCAAACCACCATCCCCGTCCCCTCCTCCTCCATCCTCCCCACCCCCACCACCCTTCCCTTCGCCACGCCCCCCCTTGGGGTAGCGGCCCTTACCCGGACGCGGCTGAGTTGAGGCCGCAGCGGCGGTCTCAGCAACAGCGGCAGAGACGTCAGAGTAAGTGCACTGGGAGGGAGCACAGCCCTGAAAGATAGGGACCGCCGCATTACTGCTAGACTGAGCCACAGTGTGCTGGCGGGTCTCTATCGCGGACAGGGCGGTGAGGGTGAGGTCACCCGGGTGCTGACTAAGGAAGTGGTCGTGGGCAGTGGCTGGGCGATCGGGAAGGTGCATGGCAATGAAGTAAAGGGTAGCGTAGAGCGGCGGCGGAAAGGCAGTGAGCTGAGCCTCAGTGCTAGCGGCGCGGAAGCTAGTTTCAAATGCGCGGAGGTGAGTGGCGAGATCAGCGATTGTGGGGAAGGTCGCAAGAGTAGGTAGCAGTATGGGGAGGATCAGGTGGTCAGCAGAGGCTGAGGCGGGGGTGGAATGGCACACAATGACTGCATCTAAGAATTCCTTGGCGTTCGCTACAGTGGTAAAGCGGGGACGCTCAGACAGGGGAAGTGCGTGACTAATAGCAAGCTGCGCAACAGCGTCACGCGACTCCCAAACAGCGCAAGCAAGCGCAGCAGCAGAAAAGGCCTCACTCTCAAGTGGTGGGGGCGTTAGGGAGGGCAACAGGCGCAGCGGGGCTGGGAAGCAGGTCATCGACATGAACAGCCAGGGAGTGACCGTCCTGGCGCTGATTTGTAAGGTGACGGCGAAGGTTGACGAGCCACGCCTTGAAGTCGATCGCCTGACCCTCCGCGTCTAGGCGGAGCAGTGAGTCCACCATCACCACGGTTGCAGCAACTGACCGCCGCTGACAAGGAGAGGAGGAAAGGCGGCGGGTGGCTGGCGAACGCAGGGCCAGCGGACGCGGGGCTGGCAAAAGTGGGGCCAGCGGGCGCGGGAGCCGACTGGAGGCTGGCGGCGATGGGCGGCTAGCGGCGACGAGCGGCAGGCGGCTACAGGCGGCCAGCGGCTATGGGCGGCTAGCGGCAATGGGCGACCAGCGGCAATAGGCGGCTAGCGTCAATGAGCGGCTAGCTGGGACGGGCGGCCAGCGGCTACGGGCGGGCTGGCTTCTATGAGCGGCTAGTGACAACGGGCTGCCAGAAGCGACAGGCGAGTTGACGGCGACAAGCGGCCAGCGGCGCGCGGGCTACGGACGGCTGGCATCGAGCAGGCTACAACCGGCCAGTGGCGAGCGGGCTACGGGCGGCTGGTGGCGATGGGCTGTAGGTGGCTACGGGCGACGGGTGGCCAGCGGGCTACGGGCGGACATCGGGAAGTGGGCTACGGGCAACGGGGGCCAGCGGGCTACGAGCGGCCGGCGGCCAGCGGGCTATAGGCGACGGGCGGCCAGCGGGCTACGGGCAACTGGCGGCTATGACGGTTAGCTAGGAACAGGCGGCTAGCGACGGGCAGCGCGAGCTAGGGCTAGGACGAGGGCGGAAGCGTGGGTGGGCAGGATCCTAACCTAGTGTAATACCATATCAAAGTTAGAAAGATTGACTAGAATGAGGCAAACATGGCGGTTTGGTCTAAGGGGTTGTACCCACTAAGAGTACCCACCTATCTAGCCTATAATACATATACATATATTACGTTTGACAGGCGCACCTTGCAGTTCTCGCTGGCACTCAGTAAGAAATTTCGATATTACCCGAATTCGTTCATTCGTTCTGGTACAGTGTTTTACGAAATAAAATGGGGGCGTATACGGTACACACTTTCTAAAAAGAAGGGGGGGCGTTTAATAGAATAATAGCTATAAGGCCCAAAGCACGAGATAAAGCCCATAGGCATTATCCTGCGGAGGGGCGTATATCCGGGGGAATACGGTATTTTTTCAAGGCGGTTCTATTTTTTTCCTGCCTGAGATTTTAGGCCAAGTTTTTTCGGAAGGCTGACCAATCAGGGATGGGGTTTGAAATGCGGTGATTGTATTTAGAGCCCCCATCTCATAATTACTAGAGTTTAACACATGGTTGAGGAAGGCAGACTTTGATTGGTACGTGAGGTGAAAAAAAAGGGACGAAAACTAGACGCAGGTGGAGAGGCCCTTTGGTTTCGATGAAACATCCAAACCAAAAATAAGGTTTTGGCGAAATTGGCTCCAATAAGTTCAGCACATCCATTTAGTTGGTTATTTTATATCGGACGGTTCTAAATCCAAGTTTTTTCGCACAACCTATTTCCACTTCGTTTCCAACGGTTGATTTCGACTTCCAGTTGTTGAACCATCAGATACGAACTATTAGACGATCTAACGGTTGTACTTCCTTGTTCTTCCGTGAAGTTGCTCTTTCTCATATTTCATTGAGAGCTTTACAACCGGTCCCCTACAGAGGCATTTCCTAGCCTGTCCATTCAATTTCGCCAGCGTAACAGGGTACCAAGCATTTTACTCTTGGTCGAAACCTAGAATGATGAGAATCGTGCTTTAATATTTCATGACGGGTGCGGTTCGCGATGTGATTGAAGAAAATGGGAGTTTGAAGGGAACTGCTAGAACCCCATAGCATTGGTTGTTTCCGTGTACTTTTTGAGTATGACAAACCACGTCTCTCACAGCTGCTCCAGATTACCTCGGACCACCTGTGTGGTATTGGTCTAAGGACCAATCACGTCCCTCACATGCTCCAGATTACCTCGGAGCACTTGTGTGATTTGGTCTTAAAGCCGTAGTCTTACAATTACAACCGTAAAACGTTTGGTACCCAGTTTCGTGGGCGAAACTAGAGGGAAAGGCTGGGAAAAACGACTTCCAGAGCAAAGGAAGGCAGAGGGGGGGAAGCAAGCGTGCAAAAATATGAGACTGCACGAACATTGGGAAAATTGCCGACTCAGGGCCGCCGGATCACACTGGAAAACTGATATGACAACTAAAGAGTTTTGTAAATCGAATCGACGGCCGATACCGAAGTACAAAGTGAGGGTGAAAGAAATTGGATTCTCGGCCGTCGGATCTGCAAGGCTGCACGAAATTGGTTGGGAAGCTTGTCCCAAGCCAACCTTACCGAACCAGGTTCTCAGTTTGGTTATTTTGTCGAAACAAAACAAGACTCGACGTAATCGCCAGATGGGTTGCGTGTATCAACCCTTATTTTGCACACGCAATCTTTCCCCCCAACCTTTTTCTTTCCATTTCGTTTTCATTTGTCCACTATTAAAATTCGTGAGTCAAATGCTAGAAAAAAATGATTAGGTGATTGGATACGTTTAAAGCTGGTAACATTATTCACAGCAATACTTCAAGGCTTTATTTAATAGAAGTGCTTGTGTATTGCTGTATTGGAGCGAGTAACTTGCTGACCTGTAATTGGTTAGATTTAGGGGAAGAGCAAATATACTTCAGCTAGGGTTTGTTTGTGACCCTGGCAACAGTGTCTCGTCCTTGTTTCGGCTCCTCCTTCCCTCGTTGCACCTCGTTCTCTGCTCTTTGCTCGTGCCTGGTTCTTGCTCGGACTGATTAGTCCTAACTACCTTGTCCTTGCTCACACTCAATTCCTTGCCCTTAGTACTACCCAGTCCGAGCTCGAATATTGTTCTTGTTCCTTACCACGCTTATCTGCCACGTAGGCCAGACTAGTTGCCCCCTGGTTGCACTTTGATGGCGCTGAGCCCGTAAACCCTCAGGCACGCCAGCGCCTTGCGAGCTGGTGCGTTTCGCGCTGGCGCCTTGCGCGCTGGCGTGTTTCACTCTGGCGCCTTGCGCGCTGGCGCCCTGCACGCTGGCGCCATGAATATGGCGCGGTGTGTGCACGTGGCGCCATGCGAGCCATCGTAGCATCTGCTTGTTGTGATGGTAGGCAAAGGGGGAGGAGGAAGTGGGAGGATGGAGAAGGAAGGGTACGTGCAACGAAACTGAAGGTGAGCGAGCATACCACCGACTGCCGGTGAGAGTCGCTACAGCTTGGCGCATCGCATTTGCTAGTTCACTTGCACTTAGTCCTGCTTAAGCACCAGTTGTTGGCGCACTTGCTGTTGGCACACTTGCCTCGGCGCACTTGCTGTTAGCGCACTTTTTGTTGGTACACTTGCTGTTGGCACACTTGCTGTCGGCACACTAGCTATCGGCGCACTTGCTATCGGCACACTTGCTGTTGGCGCACTTCCTGTTGAGGTAACGAAGGGCAGTGGAGGTAAGGGCAGTGGAGGTAAGCTCAGTGGAGGTAAGGGCAGTGGAGGTACGGGCAGTAGAGGTACGGGCAGTGTAAGGGCAGTGGAGGTATGGGCAGTAGATGTACGGGCAGTGAAGGTACGGGCAGTGGAGGTACGGGCAGTGGAGGCACAGGCAGTGAAGGTACGGGCAGTGGATGCACGGGCAATGGAGGTAAGGAAGGGCAGTGGAGGTAAAGGCAGTGGAGGTAATGGCAGTGGAGGTAAGGGCAGTGGAGGTAAAGGCAGTGGAGGTAAGGGCAGTGGAGGTATGGGCAGTAGAGGTAAGGGCAGTGGAGGTACGAGCAGTGGAGGTAAGGGCAGTGGAGGTACGGGCAGTGGAAGTAAGGGCAGTGGAGGTAAGGGCAGTGGAGGTACGGGCAGTGGAGGTAAGGGCAGTGGAGGTAAGGGCAGTGGAGGTAAGGGCAGTGGTGGTAAGGGCAGTGGTGGTACAGGAAGGGGAGGTATGGGCAGTGGAGATAAGGGCAGTGGAGGTATGGGCAGTGGAGGTACGGTCAGTGGAGGTACGGGCAGTGGAGGTAAGGGCAGTGGAGGTAAGGGCAGTGGAGGTACGGGCAGTGGAGGTAAGGGCAGTGGAGGATCGGGCAGTGGAGGTAAGGGCAGTGGAGGTAAGGGCAGTGGAGGTAAGGGCAGTGGTGGTACGGGCAGGGGAGGTATGGGCAGTGGAGATAAGGGCAGTGGAGGTATGGGCAGTGGAGGTACAGTCAGTGGAGGTACGGGCAGTGGAGGTAAGGGCAGTGGAGGTAAGGGCAGTGGAGGTACGGGCAGTGGAGGTAAGCGCAGTGGAGGTAAGGGCAGTGGAGGTAAGGGCAGTGGAGGTACGGCCAGTGGAGGTATGGGCAGTGGAGGTAAGGGCAGTGGGGTTACGGGCAGTGGAGGTAAGGGCAGTGGAGGTACGGGCAGTGGAGGTATGGGCAGTGGAGGTAAGGACATTGGAGGAACGGGCAGTGGAGGAACGGGCAGTGGAGGAACGGGCAGTGGAGGTACGGGCAGTGGAGGTTCGGGCAGTGGATGTACGGGCAGTGGATGTGCGGGCATTGGAGGTACGGGCGGTACTAGTAGCAGCACCTAGTACTAATACCAGCGTCTAGTATAACAGTAACAGCAGCACCTAGTATTACTAATAGCAGCACCTAGTATTGCTAATAGCAGCGGCTAGTATAGCTAATAGCAGCGCCTAATATTACTAACAGCAGCGCCTAGTGTTACTAACAGCAGCACATAGCATTACTAATAGCAAAGCCTAACACTAGTAGCAGCCCCTAGCCATAGCACCAGCACCTAATACCAGTAGCATTTAGTAGTAGCATCCGGCACCTGCATGAAGCAGGTAGGCCCCTAATTGTCGGCAGTAGTCACAAGTTTGTTGGTCATTCTTTAACGATGGTGTCCCTGTCTTCTTATTTCTTGCATGTTTTCTTCTTCCATCTTTCATTTCTTTCGCGAGTTTTCTGCGTCAAGCAGCATTTCGCTCCTCATTTGTAAGCAAATTTGTGCTCGCATCGTGCACTTTTCCACGTTACCCTTCCTTGTTTTACCCCCTTTTCCTCCCTTTGTTATTGTTTAAGGTTTGATATAGGTGATTGGACCCTCCTCTTTCCTCTCTCTTTTTTTTTTTTTTTTTTTTTTTTTTAAAAATTTTATTTATAATCTCAGTCCTCTTTCCCTTTTGCTTTCTAATGGCTTTACCTTGTCTTCCCATCACTGATCATTTTCGTTCTTCCCTTCCTGTCTCTCCACCATATTGTTTCCTCTTTCGTTCCTTGCCATATATCCTTCTCGCTTGTTAGGCCCTCCTTTCTCTTTGTAACAATCTATGCATTTCTCCCACTCAAGCTTGTATCATGTAGTCTTCATGCTTAGACTGTTACACTAATTCTTGAACAATTCCTCATCTGAACATATGTCAAGGCTCTACAATAACAGGTATCTGCGCTGCCACATTAAAGGGCTGGGAGGGGAAATGGGGAGGGGAAGAGGGTGACGGAAGGGGGGGGGGGGGGGGGATGGTGGTGGGAGGCGCAAATTGGACTTGAAAGGGGAGGGAGGGAAGGAGGTAGGGGAGGAGGGGAGGAGGGGAGGAGGAGAGGAGGGGAGAAGGGGAGGAGGGAAGGAGGGGAAGAGGGGAGGAGGGAGGGAGAAACAAGGAAAATAAGGGAGGGGGGTGGGGTCAATGCGTTAGCTTGGTCAGCAAAACTGATAAGTATATAAACGTATTCAACATTTTGTCTAATTTGCTTTTCTAGGCATCACTTGTGTGCAATCTATCCAGCGTGTGTGATGCTCTTCTTCTTACATGTTTCCCTTGTGTCTGTTCAAATTGTGTTGTTCTTGTTTTTGTATATTACGTGCGGTTCTGTATGCCCATCCTTGTGTGCGGTCTTGTTTCAACTATTCGAAGTGTTGGCTTGAAGCATAAGCATGGTGTATATTGTGATTTGTGACTTCTCGTGTGTGTGTGATGGCACACTGTTAGCGCACTCTTTTGCAATTTGTCGGGTACATATGTGTTATTTTGGTGTGCGCGCATCAGGGCGGGATGCATATATGCCAAGTGCTACGCGCGACTTGAAATTGTCGCTGTCAATTTGGCAGCATTGCTCCCGAAGTGTACATGTCAATCTCGGCTGCACTGCAGCATGGAAGCATTCGTCTATCCTCCTTGTTGCATGCGTCATTGCCTTGGTTTTTGTGTCCGACTCTTCGTGTGTCACTGTTGGAACGCAGTTTGTGCACTCTGTTACAATTTGTCGGGTGCACATGTGCCGTTTTGGTGTGCGTGCATCAAGGCAGGATGCATATATATAAGGTGCTACGCGCGACTTGAGATTGTCGTTGTCAATTTGACAACTTTGCTCCCAAAGTGTACATGTTAATCTCGACTATACTGCAGCATGGAAACATTCGTGTATCCTCCTTGTTGCATGCGTTACTGCCTTGATTTTTGTTTCTGAATCCTCGTGTGTGTGTGTTGGCACATTGTTGGCGCACTTTGTTGCAATTTGTCGTGTGCACATGTTTCATTTTGGTGTGCGTGCATCAGGGCGGGGTGCATACCTGCCAAGTGCTATACGCGGCTTGAGATTGTCGTTGTTAATTTGGCAGCTTTGCTCCCAAAGTGTACATGTAAATCTCGGCTGCACAGCAGTATGGAAGCATTTGTGTGTTCCATTGGATTCATCCATCATCATTGTGTTCGTCATCCATTACATGTTTGACATATTTCTGTGTGTGCGTTTTATGCGTATTTTCCGTTTTTATTCCCACGTCTATATTTGTTCAAAACTTATTATGCCCCCTTGATTTTCCATCCACCGTAATTATCGACGATGGAAACCTAGGTAGCATAAATGTTTAAGACAGTTTAAGTTGTCGGCACATCCGGTGTTCGTATTGGACGCGAATGTATCTTATTGTTCTCCCATCAAATCTGGCGGTGGAATAATTATGTGCGAAACATACACACTTGTGGCGATCGATATAGAATGTGGTTCCATACAATTTCTTGTGCTTTTTTAAAAGCGCACACAAGAATAGCATATCACACCCGAGGCGCACATCAGGGAGTTATTGAGGTATTTCTCAACATAAAATAAGAGGGTTGAGAAGTATGATTTACTTATAAAGGATTACTTAGAGAACTAATATGGTATTTCGGTAAAAGAAAATATTGGAATGATATCTTGGGTTTTATAGGAAATCAGTATTTCATAGGTAATTTAATTTGAAGCAAAAAACTGGAAACTCGACGATCTTAAAAAGTGGTGCCCCAAAATATCATACCAATTCTATAGGGTTGCTACGCAACCCTAAAACCTCGCCACCTGGTGTAAAATGTTTATTCAGTTTTGTAGCAGGCAGTACTGTAACGGGGTCAATGCTCCCCGTTTTGGCTGACTACGCGCATCCTCTACACTGTGTATTTGTCGGCTCCGTCACTCATTGGCCAGCCACACATCCTGTCCAGCGCACGCCTTCTTGGTTCCGGGAAGCCGTCGATTCAATCGCACGAAAAGCCGTCGACGGTCGATTGTCTGTCGACAATGCCGAAGGCCTCGTTCGTCTTGTCCCCTCCCCTCCTCCCCACCACCTCCGCTAAACAGCGAGAGATTTGCAGAAATCAGAAAAGTTGCATTATTATCGGCTGCCATAGCTTCGATTTGCAGGAGTAGCGCAGAAATCTTGAACATTTCTGGAGTGCTAGCGACTCGGTTCCATGTACAAAAGCTCGCACACCCAGCGGTCGCTACCACTACAAGTATTTTCAAGATTGAGGATGTATTCGGGGCTCATGTCAATCTTCTGGTCGAGTCACCCGAGCCCCAACTTGGGGTCTTCCAGCCATCACTTCGGGTTCACGAACGAGCGGCTGCTACAGTGCTCAGCGATAGAAGTGCAACCCAGTTGAAATTTCGCCGAGATGTGCAGCAACCATACATGATTCGTGTGTTTCTAGGTGTGGGTGGTATGCATATCGTGGACCCGAATGCTCAGATATTCCAGCTTCGTGTCTTCCGCGTCTAGCCCGAAGTTTGACACGAACCCGAATTCACCCTTACTAGCGAAATATATAAATCCAGAGGTCCATGAATCAATCTGGATGCATGAACCCTAGGAGCGTGTATCATTACATGTACACTAATTCCGTATATGTACACTAACTTCGTACACAGAACCGAGTCGCTGCTACTCCAAAATTTCGAGGAATGTCTGTGCTACTACTGCAAATCGGAGCTACGGAAGCCATTGATAATGCAATTTTCCGATGATTTAAAAATCTCTCCAGAATTGCTGTGCATTCCCTGCTGAGGCTCCTTCACCCTTGTTGTCCCCAGACTCCAGACCCTAGAGCTGCCATCTGGCCATTTCTTGAGCGATCCCACCTTCTGCTCCTAGATGTACAGGCAGAATTGGCAGGAAGGAGCAATCGGGCACGAATTTCCCGCTTCGTGCTGTCTCTCCAGGCAGAGTCAGCAGAATGGTCTCTTGTCTGGTTCCGCAGTGGGGGATGGATTGTGGTCTTGGCTCACTTCAGTCGACTCAAAAGCACAGGAGTGCGCCTCGCGACGCTCGTCCATGCCGCGTATTCCCCGCGGAAGCAGTTTCTTGTTTTGCGGTTACTGTGCACTTGTTCTGCTTCTTTCGGCATCTTTGAATGATCGTCGTAGCCCGCCATCAGGTCCCCCGGGTAGTACGACACAAATGGTACAACTGCACTACGTCCGTCAGTACGTCTGGTCCTAGCTGAGCTACGTTCGTGGACTTTCAGCTCCCTGATACATCTGCACTAGGTACACCTGCATAGGTACAGCTGCACAGGTACAACTGCACAGGTACAACAACTGCTAGTGCACTTCTTGGGGCCACCTCGGATTTATTTTGCACTGCCATCGCCGCTTGCACAGTCTGCTGCCGATTCTCCAGGGGATTTCGTTCCCAGAGGAATTTTTTCCTACTGATGTCCTGCACTTTCAAAGCAGCCGTTTCCTTCCCGTGCTCAGACGCCGCTACTACCGCCGCCTCGGCGGCTACCAAAAACATCCCTTAGACGCGTTGAACACGTCGTGACATCGGTGCTTCTTCGCCTTGACAGCCATGGCCCGTTCACGCCACGCGGCTGTGATACGACCCCCCTGCCTCGTGCTTGCTGCACTGGCTGCTCTCATGCTCTCAGGTGTGCTATCAGGTGTGCTCTCAGGTAGTACACGCATAGGCACGCTATCAGGTACCCTCTCAGGTCTCACGTATGCTAAATTTCGTCGGGGGGAGAATTTCTCACATGCATATTTTCCACCAATCCAAGTCTGTCAGTACCTTGTCGCTCCAACCTCTCATGTGCCCTGCCCCTCATGTTCCCTGCCCCTCATGTTCACTGCCCCTCATGTGCCCTGCCCCTCACGTGCCCTGCCCCTCATGTTCCCTGCCCCTCATGTGCCCTGCCCCTCATGTTCCCTGCCCCTCATGTTCCCTGCCCCTCATGTGCCCTGCCCCTCATGTGCCTTGCCCCTCATGTGCCCTGCCCCTCATGTGCCCTGCCACTCATGTGCCCTGCCCCTCATGTTCCCTGCCCCTCATGTGCCCTGCCCCTCATGTGCCCTGCCCCTCATGTGCCTTGCCCCTCATGTGCCCTGCCCCTCATGTGCCCTGCCACTCATGTGCCCTGCCCCTCATGTTCCCTGCCCCTCATGTGCCCTGCCCCTCATGTGCCCTGCCCCTCATGTGCCCTGCCCCTCATGTTCCCTGCCCCTCATGTTCCCTGCCCCTCATGTTCCCTGCCCCTCATTTTCCCTGCCCCTCATGTGCCCTGCCCCTCATGTTCACTGCCCCTCATGTTCCCTGCCCCTCATGTTCCCTGCCCCTCATGTTCACTGCCCCTCATGTGCCCTGCCCCTCATGTTCCCTACCCCTCATGTGCCCTGCCCCTCATGTGCCCTGCCCCTCATGTGCCCTGCCCCTCATGTGCCCTGCCCCTCATGTGCACTGCCCCTCATGTGCCCTGCCCCTCATGTGCCCTGCCCCTCATGTTCCCTGCCCCTCATGTGCCCTGCCCCTCATGTGCCCTGCCCCTCATGTGCCCTGCCCCTCATGTGCACTGCCCCTCATGTGCCCTGCCCCTCATGTGCCCTGCCCCTCATGTTCCCTGCCCCTCATGTTCCCTGCCCCTCATGTTCCCTGCCCCTCATGTTCCCTGCCCCTCATTTTCCCTGCCCCTCATGTTCCCTGCCCCGCATGTTCCCTGCCCCTCATGTTCACTGCCCCTCATGTGCCCTGCCCCTCATGTGCCCTGCCCCTCATGTTCCCTGCCCCTCATGTTCACTGCCCCTCATGTTCCCTGCCCCTCATGTGCCCTGCCCCTCATGTTCACTGCCCCTCATGTTCCCTGCCCCTCATGTTCCCTGCCCCTCATGTTCACTGCCCCTCATGTGCCCTGCCCCTCATGTTCCCTACCCCTCATGTGCCCTGCCTCTCATGTGCCCTGCCCCTCATGTGCCCTGCCCCTCATGTTCCCTGCCCCTCATGTTCCCTGCCCCTCATGTGCCCTGCCCCTCATGTTCACTGCCCCTCATGTTCCCTGCCCCTCATGTTCCCTGCCCCTCATGTTCCCTGCCCCTCATGTGCCCTGCCCCTCATGTGCCCTGCCCCTCATGTTCACTGCCCCTCATGTGCCCTGCCCCTCATGTGCCCTGCCCCTCATGTTCACTGCCCTCATTTTTCCTGCCCCTCATGTTCCCTGCCCCTCATGTTCACTGCCCCTCATGTCCACTGCCCCTCGTGTTCCCTGCCCCTCATGTTCGCTGCCCCTCATGTTCCCTGCCCCTCATGGTCACTGCCCCTCATATTCCCTGCGCCTCATGTTCCCTGCCCCTCTGTTCACTGCCCCTCATGTGCCCTGCCCCTTAAGTGCCCTGCCCCTTATGTGCCCTGCCCCTCATGTTCCCTGCCCTTCCCTCACAAACTCTGCTCTTCACCACACCCTTTCCCTTTCCTCCCTTCTCTTTTCCCGATGCCCTGTTACGCTCTCTTCCCCCCTTCCCCTTCCGCCCTTCCCCCATTCCCCCCTTTCCTTCCCGCCTTCCCCCCTTCCCCCCTTCCTTCCCGCCCCTTCCCTCTTTCCCCCTTCCTCCCTTCCCCCATTCCGCCCTTCAAGCCTTCCTCCCCACTTCCCCTTCTTCCCCTTTCTCACGGCCTCTGTTCGCCTGCCAGCGATCAGTAACGCCCGCTGCTGCCATTCGCCTCCCCCCTTTTTTCGGCCTTCCCTTCCTTCCCTCCTTACCCCATTCTCTTTCCTCCCTCTTTCATCCACTTTCCTCCCTCTTTCATCCACTTTCCTCCCTCTTTCATCCACTTTCCTCCCTCTCTCACCCACTTTCCTCCTTGCAGCCTGTGCGCCCAGAGCTGCTGCTGTTCGCCTGCCAGCTACCAGTAACGCCGCCGATCGTAAGTTACCAGCACTCAAGGGTTTAGGGCTGGAATGCTCCAGTGTTCTCTATTCTTCTTGTAGGCTCCCATCTGGCGCCCAGTGCATCATCCTGCATGCGTATGTGAATCGACAATAGTACACGGTACACTGTACACCCCTGCCTGCATAGTGGGGGGAATCGGAATCGGGAAAGATGATGTTGACGCTGCGACTCGCTGTGAGTCGCTGTGTGTCGACGGTGAGCCGCTGCGACTCGATGTGACCCGGCCCGACTCCGAGTCGGTGGCAGGGATTGACTGTGGCGGAGGTCGAATCTCACGTGAGGTTCTGGATGGTGCGATATTCTGCGACGAGCGTGCGCTGCGCACGTTCAGTAGCACGCACGGCACGGCAGTGCAATGCACAGAACCCACCCGGGGTCTTAGTCATTGTTGCCTTTCCCTCTTGCCCGGAGCCTGCAGGAAGAGTCTGCTGCAGCTCCTGTGTCATGAGAAACAGTGGCGTGGTGCCAATGCTTTCTGCGTGAGGGGGACGCTGTGCTACCCGCTCTCCATTGCTTCCCCCTCGTTCTGAATGACCCGGCAGACTCGTGTGACTGCGGGGCCAGTGCTGTCTCGGTGAAAGCAGAGAGGCCATGCATCAGGCACCCCCTCTCCATTGCCTCTCCCTCGTGCCAAATACCCGGCAGACTCGTGTGTGATCCGCAGCTGTGGTGCGAATGCGTTCTGTGTGAAGAAGAGGGGCGACGCCACGTGTGTCTGCAACGTTGGGTTTTCCATGGCTTCCACCGGCTGCGTTGGTGAGTGCTGCTGAGAGGAGCTGAGAAGGTATTCTCTTACTTCCCAGGAGCCCGGTACTAGAAGCCCGCAGTGTCAGGAGCCCGTGGTGTCAGGAGCCTGTGGTGTCAGGAGCCCGGCGTCAGGAGCCCAAAGAGACCATCATCAGCAGTATGGAGGTTTACCATGTGGAGTGGTCATTTCCTTTCCTTCATCAGCTTATTCGCAATGTCCCAACTCCAAACTCCCAACTCCAAATTCCCAACTCTCATCTCCCAACTCCCGTCTAGTGGCTAGTCCTCCCTTCACCCTCTTAGTTGTCCTCCTCCTAGTCCTCCTACTCCAGCTCTGCTCCTCCTCCTAGTAGTCCTCCTCCTCCTCACCCTAGTCCTCCCCTTCCTCGCCTTATTTGTCGTCATCCTCCTCCTAGTCCTCCTCATCATCGTCGATATAAAGCGAACCACCGTTTTTAACGACGGTGCGAGAAAAACGACCGTTTTTTTGCACCAGTCACAAAACACCATTTTTGACTGTTTTACTCTTATTAAACGGCCGTGCTATACGATCCCGTTTTACACGGTAAAAAAAGTAAAAAAGCCCCTTTTTTGCACCTTGCAGCATACAAACGAGTTTCAGTCATTACAGCTACACATAGCAGCGCGCACCAATGCACGTCCTGCCATCAGTCTGCAGCACAAAGCCGGAATCACAAACACAGGACGCCACTCCAGCAGTGTTCTTGATGCACGTGCCGTTCCCCCCGCACTTCTTGAGTGCGCATGTGGCTGAGAGGAGAAGGGAGGAGCGTGTGGGCGGAGTCGGGTGTAGCATGGGAGTTGGGCGTAGGAGTTGGGAGATGGGAGATGGGTGATGGGAGATGGGACGGAGAAGGACAATGAAAAGAGGCCTCGGAGGACGTGGATGGTGTTTTCGATGCGTGTAGGCTGTCGCCGCTGCCAGGCCCTCTGTTTTCCCGCGGTTTTTTAAGTTAAGGGTAAAAACAAAAATAACAACGGGAGGAAAACTCTAACAAAAAAACGGCAGAATTCGCATAATTCTGTCGTATAAAACGACCATAAAAAACGGACCATTTAATACGGAAACCGTTTTTTGCACCTTGGTATGCTGTGCTGATGATGCCGTGTGTTGCTCTGCTTGATGGCAAACTCACTCACTCACTCATTCCCATGTTTTGAGTGCTGTTCTCATCACCTGTGTGTCCCTTTCGCTTCTCTTCCCTCCGATCCAGACACCTGTGAGCTCAAGGCCTGTGGTGGGGATGGCACGTGCACCAAGAACGACGCTGGAGTGGCATCCTGTGTTTGTGACACCGGCTTTGTGCTGCAGGCTGATGGCAGGACGTGCACTGGTGCGTGCTGCTATGCACTGATGTGTGCTGAATGAAACTCGTTTGTATGTATGCTGTGCTGGTGATGCCGTGTGCTGCTCTGCTTGATGGCAAATTCAATCACTCACCTTTTTCCATGTTTTGAGTGCTGTTTGCGTTGCCTGCGTGTCCCTTTCGCTTTGATACTGATTTCGTTTTGAGCCGACTCAAAACGAAATCACCTGTTCCAATGTTTGGAGTGCTGTTTGTTTGCATCGCATCTCTGCCCCTTTCGCCTGGACCCTTCACAGTTCTCCAGCAAGGTGCCTCCGGACGCGCATGCCTCCCCATCTCTGTCCCTCCCCATCCAGACACCTGTGTGCTTAAGGATTCAGACATCCATCCACGGTCCCTTTTGCCTCCCCCCCCTTCTCCCAGACACCTGTGAGCTCAAGGCCTGTGGTGGGAATGGCACGTGCACCAAGAACGCCGCTGGAGTGGCATCCTGTGTTTGTGACACCGGCTTTGTGCTGCAGGCTGATGGCAGGACGTGCACTGGTGCGTGCTGCTATGCACTGATGTGTGCTGAATGAAACTCGTTTGTATGTATGCTGTGCTGGTGATGCCGTGTGTTGCTCGGCTTGATGGCAAATTCACTCACTCACGTTTTTCCATGTTTTGAGTGCTGTTTGCGTTGCCTGCGTGTCCCTTTCGCTTTGATACTGATTTCGTTTTGAGCCGACTCAAAACAAAATCACCTGTTCCCATGTTTGGAGTGCTGTTTGTTTGCATCGCACCTCTGCCCCTTTCGCCTGGACCCTTCACAGTTCTCCAGCAAGGTGCCTCCGGACGCGCATGCCTCCTCATCTCTGTCCCTCCCCATCCAGACACCTGTGTGCTCAAGGATTCAGACATCCATCCACGGTCCCTTTTGCCTCCCCCCCCTTCTCCCAGACACCTGTGAGCTCAAGGCCTGTGGTGGGAATGGCACGTGCACCAAGAACGCCGCTGGAGTGGCATCCTGTGTTTGTGACGCTGGCTTTGTGCTGCAGCCTGATGGGACAACGTGCGCTGGTATGTGTTGCTGTGTGCTGGTATGTGCTGCTGTGTGCTGGTATGTGTTGCTGTGTGCTGGTATGTGCTGCTGTGTGCTGGTATGTGCTGCTGTGTGCTGGTATGTGCTGCTGTGTGCTGGTATGTGCTGCTGTGTGCTGGTATGTGCTGCTGTGTGCTGGTATGTGCCGCTGTGTGCTGGTATGTGCTGCTGTGTGCTGGTATGTGCTGCTGTGTGCTGGTATGTGCTGCTGTGTGCTGGTATGTGCTGCTGTGTGCTGGTATGTGCTGCTGTGTGCTGGTATGTGCCGCTGTGTGCTGGTATGTGCTGCTGTGTGCTGGTATGTGCTGCTGTGTGCTGGTATGTGCTGCTGTGTGCTGGCTGCTGTGTGCTGGTATGTGCTGCTGTGTGCTGGTATGTGCTGCTGTGTGCTGGTATGTGCTGCTGTGTGCTGGTATGTGCTGGTGTGTGCTGGTATGTGCTGCTGTGTGCTGGTATGTGCCGCTGTGTGCTGGTATGTGCCGCTGTGTGCTGGTACGTTCCGCTGTGTGCTGGTACGTGCCGCTGTGTGCTGGTATGTGCCGCTGTGTGCTGGTATGTGTGCTGGTATGTGCTGCTGTGTGCTGTTATGTGCCGCTGTGTGCTGGTATGTGCTGCTGTGTGCTGGTATGTGCTGCTGTGTGCTGGTATGTGCTGCTGTGTGCTGGTATGTGCCGCTGTGTACTGGTATGTGCTGCTGTGTACTGGTATGTGCTGCTGTATGCTGGTATGTGCTGCTGTGTGCTGGTATGTGCCACTGTGTGCTGGTATGTGCCGTTGTGAGCTGCTGTGTGCCGACCCCGTGTGCTGTCGCTTAGCTGTGTAACTGCTGATGAGTATTTCAGTGCTGACTTGCAGTGGTATACGTATCATCTGTAGTGATGGCATGAGGAATAGATCGATGGCATGCGGATCGATGTGCGAGCCGACTTCTCTGCTGTCATATAATCCTTTCACATGTACTGTTTCCTTTCACATGTACTGTTTCCTTTCACATGTACTGTTTCCTTTCACATGTACTGTTTCCTTTCACATGTACTGTTTCCTTTCACATGTAGCACTGTTTCCTTTCCCTCCTCCCCGCCCCAAAGACACATGTGTGCTGGTGGCTTGTGGTGGGAACAGCACGTGCGTCAAGTACAGGAACTCTGTAGTGGTGGTCTGTGTCACTGATGACTTTTGAATCGACTCAAAAGTCACGTGCATCAAGTGCAATGACTCTGTAGTAGCATCCTACCTATGTTTGTGACGTGGGCTTCGCGCTGCAGCCTGACGGCTGGACTTGCACTGGTAGGTGCTGCTGGGTGCCATGTGGTGCTGTGCGGAGTTGTGTAGCGCACATAGCATGTGCGTTAACGACAGCGCTGGATCGGCATCCTGTGTTTGTGACGTGGGCTTTGTGCCGCAGACTGACTGCCGGGCGTGCACTGGTAGGTGGTGAAAGCACAGTACATGGCTGGGCTTAGCCTTGTATGTGCTGCTGCTTGCTTAGCCTTGTGTGCCCTGCTGCTCGCTCAGCTTCGTTGTACCGCTGCTGCTGTTTTGTGATGAAATGTGCAGAAGATTCTGCCTGCCTGCTGGCGCTTAGCTGGTGCCTTGCACCCGTGTGCATGACGGCAGAGGCCCGTTTTTCATGCCATTCCTTCCGTTCCTCCCCTCCCCAGACACATGCGAGCTCAAGCATTGTGGTGGGAACGGCACGTGCGTGAAGAGCAGCACGACTGGAGAGGCCACCTGTGTTTGTGACACTGGCTTCGTGCTGCAGGCTGATGGCAGGACGTGCACTGGTAGGTGCTGACTGTGGCATGCGCTGACGATGAGGCATGTGTGGATGCTTAACTTTGTCGCTGTCTTACCCCATCCGTTGTATGCGGCGTCTCTCTGTCTTAGAAGCAAATGGTTGGTACATGCGGCGTCTCTGTCTCCATCCTTTCCCCAGCCATCACGCGCACGCCTCCAAGAAGGTCGACTCAGAAGGCTTCTCTCGTGCAATTGCTACACAAACCCACCCCCCCCCCCCCCTCCCTCTGCTCCCGTGCTCTCATGTGCGATGGCTACCCCCCCCCCCCCCCTTGCTCCCGTGCTCTCATGTGCTATGGCTACCCCCCTCCCCCCCCCCCTCCCCCCCTGCTCCCGTGCTCTCATGTGCAATGGCTATCCCCCCCCCCCCTCTGCTCCCGTGCTCTCATGTGCAATGGCTACCCCCAAACCCCCCCCCCCCCCTTCTTGCTCCCGTGCTCTCACGTGCGATGGCTATCCGCCCCCCCTGCTCCCTTCCTTGTGAATCCGTATGTGCTGTTCTGAATGGCTGCTGGGATTGGCTTGATTCTCTTGCGTGATGGTAAAACGTGCCCTCATGTGCTTCTGAGTGCTTGGCCTTGTATTTGCTGCTGTGTGTTGAAGTCTGCTGCTGTTTGTTGAGGTGTGCTGCTGTGTGTTGAGGTGTGCTGCTGTGTGTTGAGGTGTGCTGCTGTGTGTTGAGGTGTGCTGCTGTGTGTTGAGGTGTGCTGCTGTGTGTTGAGGTGTGCTGCTGTGTGTTGAGGTGTGCTGCTGTGTGTTGAGGTGTGCTGCTGTGTGTTGAGGTGTGCTGCTGTGTGTTGAGGTGTGCTGCTGTGTGTTGAGGTGTGCTGCTGTGTGTTGAGGTGTCCTGCTGTGTGTTGAGGTGTGCTGCTGTTTGTTGAGGTGTGCTGCTGTGTGTTGAGGTGTGCTGCTGTGTGTTGAGGTGTGCTGCTGTGTGTTGAGGTGTGCTGCTGTGTGTTGAGGTGTGCTGCTGTGTGTTGAGGTGTGCTGCTGTGTGTTGAGGTGTGCTGCTGTGTGTTGAGGTGTGCTGCTGTGTGTTGAGGTGTCCTGCTGTGTGTTGAGGTGTGCTGCTGTTTGTTGAGGTGTGCTGCTGTGTGTTGAGGTGTGCTGCTGTGTGTTGAGGTGTGCTGCTGTGTGTTGAGGTGTGCTGCTGTGTGTTGAGGTGTGCTGCTGTGTGTTGAGGTGTGCTGCTGTGTGTTGAGGTGTGCTGCTGTGTGTTGAGGTGTGCTGCTGTGTGTTGAGGTGTGCTGCTGTGTGTTGAGGTGTGCTGCTGTGTGCTGGGATGCACCTGTGGCTGCTGCACTCACTCATTGTGCTGCGCTAGGTGGCCCAGTGTGATGGTAGTCATGATCAGTAGTATCCCCATTCGTATAAATGTCAACAAGACCTCTGATTTGGCTAAAAATTTACCAACTCCACCCCCCCACTCCCCCACCCCCCCACCCCCCCCCCTCCCTCCCTCCCCCCAGAGGTGTGTGTGGTATCTGTAATGGCTACCATGTATGCGACATGATGACTTGTCACCCCACTCAAATGTCTCCGACGCCCCCAACACTCCCCCCTCCAGAGTCGTGTGTGTTATCTGTGACAGCAACTTATGAGTCCCTCTCAAATGCCAAACATGCTCCCAAACACCCCCCCACCCCCACCCCCTTTCCCCTCTCCAGAGACGTGTTCGACTTGCGACGGCAACCACGAATGCGTGGAGGACGATGCGGGTGCTATATCCTGTGTGTGCAAATACCAGATGGTGTCTGGCGCGTGTGTGGGTACGTGATAGGAGTAGCCGACTCGTTACAGGTGGGCTCTAGGGCCTTAGATAAGGGGCTGTAGGGATGCAGCAAAGCAGTCGGCGCTGCGGGTGTGGTATCCTGTGTGCAAATTCCTGATGGTGGCGGGCACATGTGTGCGTACGTGATAGCGCTAGTCAATGTGTTACTAGAGGGTTGTGTTATGCGTGTTGGTACATGGGTTGGCGTCCTTCCCCTCAGTTATGGGGCTGCACTTATGCAGCTGCAGCAGGGAGCAGTCGAGGCTGCAATCATGGCATGCTGTGGATGCAGATGCCATTGCCAACAAACCGAGGCACATGTGTGGCTTTCTGTTGGTCCATGTGTTGGTGCATGTGTTGGTGTATGTGTTGGTCAATGTGCTGGTGCATGTGTTGGTGCATGTGTTGGTGCATGTGTTGGTGCATGTGTTGGTGCATGTGTTGGTGCATGTGTTGGTGCATGTGTTGGTCCACGTGTTGGTGCACTTGTTGGTATGTAATAATGGCTGCACTAGTCCTCTGTATTCTCACTTATTTCTTCTGGTTGAGCCCCGCCTTACTTGGCTGCTAGACTACCATTGCTGTTGGAGACTAGAGAAACTAGACGCATGCCTTCCACTCCCCGTCTGGTTTCTCTACTTTGCAAAAGCCTCGCTCACATTTGAGTCGACTCAAAAGTTGCCTCGCTCACGTCTCTTGTTGTGTGGTAGTCGCTCACTCACTCAACTACTAGAAGATCAGTGCTCTGCAAACAATGCGTTCTCAGTGGTTCTGCAAGCAATGCCTTCCCCCCAGTGTCCAGCTCCCCCTGCCTCCTATCCGTCCTGTTTTGCAGGAGGCTTTGCAAAGCAATATCGTGCAGCGTCTCCTGCCTCTCTCCTCCCGCACTAACTCGCACGCTCTTCCGCTGTTGTCTCACACTATCTGCTCTGCTCCCCCTGTTGTGTTACATTATCTGTCCCCCCTGTTCCTCCGCCAGAGGCCCCGCCTCATGTGGCACGTGCCCTACAGGAGCCACGTGCGCCCCTGTTGTGTTCCTTTCATCGCATCTCCATCCTGCCTCTCTGTCTTTCTTCACCTCTCGCATGTTTCCCCCTCTACAGGCCCAGCCTCGTGTGGGACATGCCCTGCAGGAGCCACGTGCACCCCTGCGCCCTACACCAGAACCGCGTACTGCATCTGCCCCCCCGGCTATGGCATGACCGACACTGGCTGCATCCTAGGTACGACCCCTGCTGCCACCTTGCTTCCTAGAGATGTTCACTTCTGTAGTCCCGGGGAAGTTCTACTCGTCCACTTGATGTTTTTGAGGGGCCTCAAAATACAACCACTGCTGCCAGCTCGCACCTTAGAGATGTTCGCTTTAGTCCCGGTGAAGTTCTGCTCGTCCGCTTGAAGCTCTAAAGAGGTCTCTGGTCTGTCGAACAAGGTTTCTTTGCCCGCTTCATAGCTTCAAGTGGGCAAAGTTGCAAGCACTTTGCCCGCTGCATAGCATTGCAACCTCAAGTGCTTGTACCGCTCTTGGCATAGAGTTTTCTTAACCTCTTTGTAATGCACTTGACATTCCACTCATCCGCACTTGCCGAATCCCATTCTCCTCTATCTCATCCCAGTACATTCTACCCACCCCCCAGGAACCTACCCCTCCATCTCTTCAGTTAGCTTTGCCTCTCTCTTCTACATGCTCACCAGCTTTAGCATATCGCACTGCGCCTACACCACGTGCCTGTGTTTCCCTCTCCACCCCCCCCCCCCCCCCCCCCCCCCCCCCCTCCTTCCCCCCCCTCCTCCTACTGTTTCCTCTTCCCTTACAGACGCCACCCCCACCGTCTCTTCGACTAGCTTCACCTTCTACATGCTGCCATGGTTCGGCATAACGCCCGCCACCTACACCGTGCGCGTGACCCTCACCGGCTGCACCAACCTCGCCGCGGAAAGCGCTTCAGACATCCAGTCTTACGCCGCCGCGGTACGGGCTCCTGGAGGCGCGGGCGACTGCAGTGAGATCTACGCGTATGACGAGGCGGGGTGCACTGGAGCGTACGATGTTTTTGCTGGCTTGTTGACTGGCAGCGGCATCAGCACTTGGAGCATTCCGTGAGTAATGCATCTGAGCCTCACACTCCCCCCCCTCCCAACCACTATCTCCTCCCCTGTTTGTTTTATTTGATGTTTTGTATCGAAGCATCATCGGCATGGAGGAGCATTGCGCGAGTCATGTGCCTCGGTATTTAGGCTTTTGCCCACATTTTCTGATCTTGAGGCGTCTCACCGCAAGAGCCTCAAATCCATCCCACGCTGTTTTGAATGTCTCACGGTGCTCCTTGCTCCTTCTAGTTTTTCCTCTCCCCCCTGTCTCTCCCTTGAGTGGCACCTCCCTTCTAAAATCATCGTCCCACTTGTTTCTCGCTCATTTCTGCAGAATCTGCATGCATTGTTAACATGTCTTTTGCCTCCATGATGTGTGTTGCCCCCATTTTGAACAGTAACTGTATCGGATTTCCATACCGCTCTTTCATCTGTGTTCATTGAGCTCGGCGTTCTCCAACCTTTCAAAGCAGCGAGTGAAGGTTTGCGTGGGGGACAGGGCTGACGTTTCAAAAAAAGCCACTCTGATTTTGCCCCCCAAAAAAATTCACAAGTCTGAAGGGTAATTTTTCAAAAATTTGCTACTATGAAATCTCAGTGTCCAAGAGTCAGCGAGTCTGAAATACTCCGGGTTCAAAATTGTTGGAAATATCTCAAAGGACTTGAGCGTTTCTGAAGTGTAACACTGCACTCGAGGAAGACTACAGGGGAGCACGCGAGTCAACGGAGGTTACATGAGGGGACGGACAAAGAATGCGAAAAGACTCGAAGGATCGCAACTGGAGGTTGCGACTGACCGTTACAACATCACGGATGGTAACCGAAGCGGCAATCGAGTCGCTGTGCGACTCGATAAACCGTTCCTGTAACTGTACTCTACAACCGCTTTCTTATCTTCTATATATTGCTGTATGCTTGTCTCTTTAAATTAATCACTTGTTCTCATATACTAGTACAAGGGTTCAATTGCCTCAACTTCCGTTGCACTACTCAGTCTCAACTTTCTTATCTTCTATATATTGCTGTATGCTTGTCTCTTTAAATTAATCACTTGTTCTCATATACTAGTACAAGGGTTCAATTGCCTCAACTTCCGTTGCACTACTCAAAGTCTCAAAGTCTCAGTCTCTACAGCAAGGACTTAGTCTCTGCAAAAGATCCTAAGGGCTTTTCTCAGCACAATATGGTATGAGAGCTGGTCAGAGACCAAACTCCCAGTAACTACGCTCCATCAACAACCTGGAACTCAACTCAATTCAACGACTTCATTGATTACAAGACATGGACAGCAAGGGCAAGAAAGTCTCTACGGGCTCACCCAGCGGCCAAGAAACTCAACACGGCAACTCTGGTCTGCACACCTCAGGACTGCAGACAGAGACCGGGACTGCTCAAGAAACAACGGGAAGAGTACCAGAGATGGTGACTCCATCTCCTTCTTCAAGCGTGGACCCCAACCTTATGGAAAGGTTCTTCAGCTTCATGTCGCACTTCGACCAGCAGCAGCAGACAAGGACACCTGCGCATTCAACACAAAGCAATGGAGGAAACATGGGATTAGCGCCGATGAGCCTCGACAACTCATCGTTTGGGCGACACAATCAAGCGCCTACCTTTGCGCCTTATCACTCTTCACCGGGGACGTTCAAGTTTATGCCGCCCCGTGCCCAACCAACAGCAGCTGCATCACAACAAACACCAAACGCAATCTTAAGTCTCCAGGCGCAGTTCTCGCACGTGATAAAACTGCAGACATCCTCACCGTTCAACGGACACGACTTCTTTACCTGGAGCTTCGAGTTCGAGCTGCTGATGGAGGCTGCGCATCTTCTGGGATACTTCAACGGGTCCCTGCCATTCCCAAGCAACGGCACTGGAAAGGAACAAGAAATCTTCACGTATCAGTCGCTGCTGGCGTATACGGTTCTCCAGAGAAACCTGTCACCACAAGAACAGCAGAGCATCAAAACATACAGGAACTATGGAAACTCCGCGGAGCTCGCATGGCACCATCTCAAGTGCCTTTACCAAGCAAACGACAGCGTGATACAAAGCAGACTCATGCAACAACTGACAACAATACAGATGAAGACCGGGGAAAAGGCGATGCAGTATATGAGTCGCTGCCAGACCCTCCGCGACCGCCTGCTTCGGTGCGGAGGAACAATCACTGAAGAAAGCTTCGTGACACTTGTCCTCGTCGGGCTCGGGCCAGAATGGAGAACCACACGATTGCTTCTTCGCGCCCACGGAAGGATTTCGGAGATGCACCTCTGCGCCGAGCTTCACGCTGAACAACAGGAGATGGACCTGTTCGAAGAAAGACAACCAAGAAAGCAACAGCAGTTAGTCTTCTACACTCAACGAAGAAACGACAACACCTACAATCGACGCGGCAAGCAAGAACGCGACAACAGGGGACTTACCTTCGTGCCGCCGTTCTGCCACAACTGCCAAACTTCCGGGCACTCCAAGGTCAACTGCAACCGCCCTCGCATTTACCGTCCAGCAGACCCACAAGTCGCTTCCACTCAAGCAAGTCCCCCAAGGCGCTCTTCAACATCTGCACAACAAACACCAAACATTATCAATTGCATGATACACATCGACAACTGCGCACCCGGATCACTACCCACCTACGCGCCAGACGAAGAAGAGCTGCCGCCACCGCGCTCACAAGGCCTTCAAGTCAATCCAACATATGCTGCGGTCGCCAACGCCGAACCCACCGGGCGAAACACCTGGTTCTTGGACAGCTGCTGCGGTCAACACATGTGCTCCTCGGGACGCTTTGTGCAACAGGAGAAACGCCTCAACCGCGACGTCGTCATCACCGTCGCCAACAACGAAAACCTGAAGACAAACAGACAAGGCGTGGTTCAGTTACAATCCATGGAGACAAACGTCATACTTCAGCTCAACAAAGTGCTCATTGTCGACAATCTGGGATACAACCTACTAAGCGTAAGCCAACTAATGGCCAAGGGGATTCACCTGGAGTGCGACTCCTACTCCAACGAGTTTCGGCTTTACCACGGGAAGGGCGGCCTCTTCATCGGTCGTGCCCTCCTGAAGTCCGGCGTCTTCGTGTTGGACTTCGTCCCCGACCGCGGTACTGCCGACAGCGACGGTATCGTATCGTTCGCCGCCTGGACTCACCCGCCAGATCTTGATCCTGACTTCGACAGTGACGGCTTCTGGCACTCCAACACCATACCTGCAGCAGAAAGAACACGAGCATTAGCAGTTATCAGACAAGAAAGACAAGTACCCGCAAGTATCCCAACCAAACCATCACCTGCATTATCGGCAACAGGACCCAGCCGAGTCCCACCACCAGCGACCCGAGGACCGCCAACCGAAGCAGACCAGCTTATGCCCATCACACGAGAAGTTTGTCGAAGTCCCGCCTCAGTCGTCGCGTTCTTCTCCAACGACGACATCTACCACCGCTCGCCCGGTCATCGCACTTCCGACGACATCTGGCACCAACGTCTCGGACATCCTGCAAACAGCACGATACTACAAACAATCCAAGCAGAGGTGTTAGAACGCAACGCCCTTCTAACGACGAGCGGCCAAGAACTTCGACGACCACGAGCACGGTGCTTCACGTGCCCCGAAGCAGATCTTCCTCATCAACCTTTCCCATCTCATCACAACCCAAGCGCACCTACTTACGCTCCGATGGAAAAGGTCTACAGCGATATTTTAAACATGCCTCGAGAAGACACCGAAGCCGACTTCAACTACGTCATCACTTTCATCGACGCAGCAACCAGATACGTCTGGCACTTCAATCTCAAGACGCGCGATCAAGCTTTCGAAGCCTTCACAACATGGCTTCCCATTGCCGAACGAGAATCGGGACTCAAACTCAAGAGCTTCCAGTCAGACGGTGCACTGGAATACCAGTCACAACGCTTCAGGACATATCTGGCGGAAAGAGGAATCAGACGCTTGGTGTCCCTGCCCTATGCTCACCAACAGCAGGGGGTCGCAGAACGCATGAATCGGACCTTGCAGACGACGATGCGAAAACTGCTTCTGGGGATGAGGCTGCCCACCACACTGTGGCCAGACGCGATGACACATGCCGTTCACCTGCACAACCTGCTGTCCTCGTCATCACTTCCCAACAACGCATCACCGCACCTGTTGTGGACAAGAGAAAGGGGCAGCACAAAATTACTTCGAGTCTTCGGCTGCATGGTACAGTACAGACCCCACACAGCCCGAGCAGGACGCTTCACACAACGAGCTAGGTGGGGACTACACCTCGACATCGCAAAACATTTTCACGCGTGGAAAATTCTCGACATACAAGACAAAAATACCGTGGCATCCCGTGATGTTATTTTCTACGAACGACTGATGCTGCAGCATTACCTGGACAACATTGCCAACACACAAGACCCCACCGACGGCTTCTCGGGACTTCGTTCCTTCGCCGACCGTGCTGCCGAAGCTGACGCAGCAAAAGAAGACGTACCTGAAGCCTCGGAAGCTGCCGGACCACTCCCATTCTGTTCCGTACCTGTTCCACTCGACGAAGACAATCCTCTCGATAGCAACAACCTCGAAACCTTTTACCACTTCGCTGACCAAGGTTACATTACACCCCACCCAGTCGACACAAATGTTTCAGAACGCATCGGTCCCAACTTCTTACCTGACCCAGAAGACGGTGACGAAGCAGCTTATTCCGGGAATGAAAATTCCCCTCGACACACACCCACGGGACTGCAGATTCTAGGCCTGTGGGTCTCCGTCCAGCATCCGCCGCCGCCTTCTCCGCGAGAGCCTTCAACCTTGTCGCAGGCTCTGGGGGGGGAACATAAGGCAAAATGGAAGGAAGCGATGGAAAAGGAGTTAAAGGCTCTGCAAGACCAGAAAACATGGAAACTGGTACCTGCAACAAGCATCAACGGAAAAAACGTCCTCTCGGGGAAATGGGTGTACCACATTAAGACCAACTCAGACGGCTCCATCGAACGATTCAAAGCTCGATGGGTCGTACGAGGCTTCGATCAACGATACTGGACCGACTACACAGAAACCTTCGCTCCAGTCTCCCGTCACACCTCATTACGCATCCTACTCGCCGTCGCGGCCACGAAGACACTACCACTACGCCAAATCGACGTCGCGAATGCGTTCCTATACGCACCTGTGGACGCTGAGATTTTCGTCGAACAACCCCACGGATTCATCAACGACCCCACGAAAATATGCCAACTGACAAAATCCCTATACGGGATCAAGCAAGCCCCGCGGCTCTGGCAGCAGCATCTCCACGGCCGTCTCGCAAAAATCGGATTCCTACAACTGCCGCATGACCAAGGGATGTACCGACTGCAGAAGGGAAGAGAGTATATCCTACTCATCGTCTACGTCGACGACCTGCTCTACATCGGCTCCACTACCGACATCGCTACCTGGTTCGAAGGGGAGCTGAAAGAAGACTTAACACTCACGGTGTCCGACGAAGTGACCCAGTACCTAGGACTGAATGTCGTCGAAGACGACACGGCGTTCTACCTACATGCTGGAAAGTACTCAGGCACCGTCGCGAAGAAATTCGGTCTAACACCGACTACGGTCCCAACTCCCTACCGCTACGGGAACAACAACAGCACCTCCGCAAAACTCCCCGCGAAGCAAATCCAGGTATCAACAGAAGCTCGGCTGCCTACTGTTCGCAGCAGTAACCTGCCGACCCGACCTGTCCTATAGTGCGAGTCAACTGGCGACGCATCTGAAACAACCGGAACAGGAAGATCTCGAGGAGCTCAACCGGGCACTACTCTACTTTGTCTCCACGCCGACGATCGGACTTACCTACAGCAAAGCGACAACACCATCCGTACGACTACTCGGATACGTCGACGCCGACCACGCGGGAGATAGGGAAAATCGACGATCTAGGACGGGCTATATCTACCGACTAGAACCCATCGGAACTATCTCCTGGCAGTCGAGCAAGCAGGAGTTAATCGCACTATCCTCGGCTGAAGCAGAGTATATCGCCCTTTGTACTGCGACCAAGGAAGGACTCTACCTACGGGAGTTACTCGAGGAAGCGAAGATTGCGACCCTGCCTGCCTTCTCACTCCTCTGCGACAACCAATCTGCGATCAAAATCGCGAACAAGGACGGCTTCGCCAACCGAACCAAGCACATCGCCCTGCGGTACTTCTTCGTCAAGGATGAAATCGCGAAGGGGAGACTTCAACTCAGTTACTGCCCGACGACAGAAATGGCCGCAGATTATCTGACGAAGAAATTGGCGAAAGCAAAATTCGACTACTGCATGCTCCTGACCGGGCAAACAAACGTCACCGGACCCGAACACGTCAACACTCCAGAAACGAAGGGGAGTGTTGGAAATATCTCAAAGGACTTGAGCGTTTCTGAAGTGTAACACTGCACTCGAGGAAGACTACAGGGGAGCACGCGAGTCAACGGAGGTTACATGAGGGGACGGACAAAGAATGCGAAAAGACTCGAAGGATCGCAACTGGAGGTTGCGACTGACCGTTACAACATCACGGATGGTAACCGAAGCGGCAATCGAGTCGCTGTGTGACTCGATAAACCGTTCCTGTAACTGTACTCTACAACCGCTTTCTTATCTTCTATATATTGCTGTATGCTTGTCTCTTTAAATTAATCACTTGTTCTCATATACTAGTACAAGGGTTCAATTGCCTCAACTTCCGCTGCACTACTCAAAGTCTCAAAGTCTCAGTCTCTACAGCTGGGACTTAGTCTCTGCAAAAGATCCTAAGGGCTTTTCTCAGCACAATAAAAATGTTGACTCAGATTCCTGCGCCCAAGTCGAAATCTTGTATTTTCAGAAATCACACGTTACTAGGTAGAGAACTGTCAAACATAACTTATGCAGTTACTGTAGTCTATATGTTTGTGCTTTAGAGGGTACAGCTCACTAGTCTATATAGCCTTGTATCTCCCCATTCTAGTCATTATTCATTCTGATATGGTATCATAGTAGGTTACGTCCCCCCTCTAGCCCGCCCACGCTTCCGCCCCTAGGCCCTAGCCGCCGTCGTGCCCCGCTCCTAGCCGGCCCCCTGGCCGTCACGCCCGTCCCTAGCCGGCCCCCTGGCCGTTGCGCCCGCCCCTAGCCGGCCCCCTGGCCGTATGCGCCCGTCCCTAGCTGGCCCCCTGGCCGTTCGCGCCCGCCCCTAGCTGACCCCCTGGCCGTTCGCGCCCGCCCCTAGCTGGCCCCATGGCCGTTGCGCCCGCCCCTAGCCGGCCCCCCTGGCCGTCGCGCCCGTCCGTAGCCGCCCCCCTGGCCGTCGCGCCCGTCCCTAGCCGGCCCCCTGGCCGTCGCGCCCGCCCCTAGCCGGCCCCCTGGCCGTTCGCGCCCGCCCCTAGCCGGCCCCCTGGCCGTTCGCGCCCGCCCCTAGCTGGCCCCCTGGCCGTCGCGCCCGCTTCTAGCCGGCCCCCTGGCCGTCGAGCCCCTCTTAGCCGGCGCCCTGGCCGTTTCGCGCCTGCTCCTAGCCGGCCCCCTGGCCGTTCGTGCCCACCCCTAGCCGGCCCCCTGGCCGTTCGCGCCCGCTCCTAGCTGGCCCCCTGGCCATTCGCGCCCGCCCCTAGCCGACCCACTCGCCGTCGCGGCTGCCCCTAGCTGTCGTCGCGGCCGCCCCTAGCCGTCGCGGCTGCCTCTAGCCGCCGTCGTGGCCGTTTCCGGCTGTCCCACGGCCGCCCCTAGCCGTCGCGCCTGCCCCTAGCCGCCGTCGCGGCTGTTCCTATCCGCCGTCGCGCTTGCTCCTAGCCGTCGCGGCCGCCCCTAGCTGCCGTCGCGGCCGTTTCCAGCCGTCTCACGGCCGCCCCTAGCCGCCGTCGCTGCCGTCTCCAGCCGCCTCACGGACGCTCCTGCCGTCGCGATCGCCCCTAGCCGCCGTCGCGGCTGTCCCTGGCCGCTGTTGCGGCGGGCTCTACTCGCCGTCGCGCCAGCTCCTAGCCGGCCCCCGTTGCCGCCGTTTGCTGGCCCCTCGCGTCCGCCGTCCGCCGGCTGGCCCTTGCATTCGCGTCGTCGCCAGCCCGCCGCCGCCTCGGGTTCGGCCCGTTCTTCCCGATCAGCACCGCCGTGCGAACCCCTCGGTACTGTACTGTACAGCTTTGTACCACACTGCACCGCTTTGCACTGCACTGCACCGCTTTGTACCGCACCGCACCGCCCTGCACCGCGCTGCACTGCCAGCGCCGCATTGTACTGCTCTACACTGCCCTCTATTGTCACTGATGGCGGAGGTGCTTTGCTTTGACACTGAGGGCCAGCCGCTGTCTGTCCATCTTGACGGTACCCTCCCCTGCCCTGACCCCCCCGCTGCACTGTCTACTGACCCCTCGTCTGCTAAGCGTGAGTCCGCTGCGGCCGCTGCCCTTGCTCGCTCTATCTGGCTGTCCCATGACGCTGTCGCACAGCTTGCTATTAGCAATGCCCTCCCCCTGTCCGAGCGACCTCGCTTCAGGTCTATCACCACTGCCCAGGCTTTCCTAGATGCTGTTGTCCAGCGCTATTCCACCCCGCCTGCTGCCTCGGTAGGTCGCCTGATCCTCCCCATGCTCTTCCCTGACCTTGCGTCGTTCCCCAGTGTCGCCGACCTGGCCGCTCACCTGCGCACTATAGACGAGACCTGGCGTGCTGCCTGCACTAACACACACCTTCTAGCCCACCAGCCACCCCTCACCTCTACTCTCTACCTGCTAGCCACCCGCCTCCCTGACCGTCTTGCCACTGCCCGTGACCACTTCCTTAGCGTCCACCCGCCAGACCTCACCCTCACTGACTTTGTTGACACCCTGTCCGCTATAGAGGCCCACCACCGCTCTATCGCTCAGACCAGCGGTACTGTGCCGGTCCCTATCTTTCAGGGTTGCGCCCCCGCTCAGTGCACCTTCTCCGACGGTTGGTGGTGGTGTGCGTGGTGGGCTGCCAGGTGGTGGTTCGGATGACGCGCGCTGTCAGTACCTGCTCCAGACCAGTCCTCGCCGTGGCTTCGTTTGCGGTAAGATCGGTCACACCTCCATCCGCTGTTTCCGTGGCCTGGACGACCTGTTTCGTCAGCGCTTCGGCCCGTCGCACGAGCTCCCAGACTGGCACAGCTTGCTTCGTCGTAGGGTTCAGATTTTTGATCTGGATATGGATGAGATTGTTACTGCCCTGTATGTGATGTATGCTGATGACTCTAGTGTGCTTCCGTCTTATTACCCCTTGTTGCCTAGTGTAGGTGTGCCTTGCATAGACTCCCCTGCTGCGTCAGGCGTAGGATCCCCTGCTTAGTTTAGCCTTGGTGCTTCCGCGCTGCTTCGCCTCCGGCCGCCACTGCCGCGCTCTCCTTCACCCTCGACTCTGGCGCTTCCCGGTGCTTCTTCTGCGACTCCACCATGTTGACACCGCTTCCTGTCCCTGCCGCAGTCTCTCTTGCTGACCCCTCCTCCGGCCCTGTAGTCGCCCGCAGTTCCACCACCCTCCCCTGCCCGGCGGTTCTTTCGGGCTCGCTCACAGGACTGCACATCCCCTCGTTCTCCAGGAACCTAGTTGGTGTCAGCTGCCTTCAGGACCTTGGCATCACCACTACGTTCCCTGGACACGAGCGGTATGCTGTCTGTACCGAGACTGCCACTGGTGCCCCCCTGTCCACGTTCCCACGGGACCTGGTATCCGGTCTTTTCACACTGGACACGGTGACCCCCCCGGCTGGGACTCCCCCTCAGGTGGCTGCGTCTCCTCCGGTTGCTGCTGCCTGCTCCTGTCGGTCTCTCACCCACCCGACCCTTCTCTGGCACCACCGCCTAGGTCACCCTGCGCTCCCGCGTCTGCGTCACATATCATAGCACGGTCTCGTCCTGGGCCTCCCCTTGTCGTTCCCCGAGTTTCCCTCCTCCCCAGCCCCACCTTGCACGCCCTGTGTCGAGGGCCGGCTCCGCCGTGCCCCTCACTCCTCGTTTCCCCCTACCGCGGCACCGCGATAGACTTTGCACATGGACGTCTAGGGCCCCGCCCCCGTCCATGGGCCGCGTCAGGAGTGCTACTTCCTAGTGCTTGTCGACGACTACACGCGCTACACCACTGTGTTCTCCCTGGAGCGGAAGGCCGACGTGCCTGACGTTCTAATCCCGTGGCTTGTCGCTGTGCGTGTCCGCCGCGGTCTCCCTGTCTTGCGCCTCCACTCCGACCGTGGTGGCGAGTTTCCCTCTGGTGTCCTTGGTCGTTTCTGTCGTGCGGAGGGCATGACCCAGACGTTCACCTTGCCGGACTCCCCGCAGCAGAATGGGGTCGCTGAGGTACGCATCGGTTTGGTCATGGAGGTGGCTCGCACCTCCATGATCCATGCCCGTGCACCCCATTTTCTGTGGCCGTTCGCCGTTCGCTACGCCACTCACCAGCTTAACCTGTGGCCGCACCCCCAGCAGCCTCAGGTTTCGCCGACCCTTCTTTGGTCTGGATCCCCTGGTGACGCGTCTGCGTTTCACGTCTGGGGCTGCCTTGCTCACGTTCGTGCCTCTGGCACGGACAAACTCACGGCCCGCACCCTTCCCTGTGTCTTCCTCGGCTCCCCCCTTGACGCGTCTGACTGGCACATCTACCACCCGCCGTCTCACCGGTTCTTTCACTCGCGCGACGTCACGATTTACGAGTCCGTCTCCTTCTTCCGCCGCTTCCCCCACCGAGGTCCCCCGGTTACCCCCCCCCTGTTCCTGGTCACCCCTTCCCCGGTCGTCGCTGCCCCTCCTCCTCCCCCTCCCCGTCCTGCCCCCTCTGGTGTGTCTTACGTCACCCCACTTATGTCGGTTGTCCCGGTTGAGGAGTCTGCTGACTCTAGTGGTCCTGCGGCGCAGTCCTCGCCGCCTGCCCCTTCTCAGGTGTCTCCTCCTCCGCCGCCTCCGCAGCCGCCGTCGCCACCGCTGTCTCCGCCGTCGTCACCGCCGCCGCCGCCGTCGCCGCAGCAGTTCGTTGCCTCTGGGGGTGCTGGAGTTGGGGTGGGTGCTAGTCCTGGGACTTCTGTCGTGGCTTGTCCCGGCGGGCCTGGGGGTGGTACCGATGCTCCAGGGGTTCTGAGCTCTGGGGGTGTTTCTTCTGGGGGTGCTAGCGTGGAGTGTTCTGGAGGTAGCCGCCAGACAGCTTTCGGTCCCGGTGTCAGTGTCACACCGCCGCCGCAGCAGTCCCTGCCGGTGTCCGCTCTTTGCCTGCTCGGCTTTCCGTCCCCTGGCCTTGTGCCTTTGCCTCCTCCTCCTCCTCCTGTCTACGGCCCTGTGCTCCCTCCTCCGGACTCGTCTCCGGCCCGTTTCCCCCTTCGTTCCCCTCTTGTGTCCCCTCCTCTGTCTCCTGATCCGACTCCTCCGTTTCACGTCTGGTCTTGCCGTCCCTCCCGTGCTCGACCTTTCTCCCTGTCTCGCGCTCTCACCCTATGTTGCTTCGTTCCCACGCGTCTCGTCCTCCCCTTCTCCCGTCGCCCCCTCCGTCCTCCCTTGTCGTTGCTTTTTTTTTTTTGTCTGATTACCTGCGTGCCGCTCGTCCTCTTGTTCCTCGGGTCCTTGCCTCTCTCGTTACCGACCCGTCTGTTCCACTTTCGTGTCTTGACACCCTTGTCGCTGCGGTCGCTGACTTCGCCTCTACCCGCCGCCTTGAATACGCCACCGCTCTGGTCTCTGAC